AAAATGCGTGTATGTGTTGAGAATCAGGAAGCGAAAGATTGTGTGAGAAAGATGTTCGTTACAATCCCACCCATCCACCCCCTTCCCCATCCCTCATTAGTCCTGTTGTGCCGTTTATTTTTCATTATTGTGAGCTTAATTAGATGTATAAAGCGTTGAGAAGAGGTTATCGTTGAACAGCGCACAGTCTTATGAAAGTGAGTCTTTCTAATGAAATTTTTACACGGAATTTAAATAGCTTTTCAGATAAATAATTATTAGAAAAATCAAAAGTTCAAATAAAATGGAGTAAATTGTTGGAAGAGTGTTGAAACATTGTTGCTTATTAAATAACTAGCATAATTCTGCATGTAAGTGAAGCTAATTCAACTGTAAATAAATTATAGCTGCACATATGCACGTTGCTTGTAGACAACCGTCGTCAGTATCGATTTGCTCATGTGCTGATGTACTGTTGCGAAAATTAATGCCGTAGGGCAGAAGCGTCGGTCGTGCGAATAAACTTTCAGTATAAGCTTTTTAGCTTTTATAAAAAAATATGAATGTACAAGTGAAATTCTCAAAGTGATCCTTATCTGTTTGAGGGGGATGTAGACTTTTCCATAGTGATCATAGAATCTTTAGCTTGATTGTCGATGTGGTCTGGAAACTGTAGCAGAAATGGTATCTAACACTTGTTGTTTATCCTGCTGTCACCTCAAAATCCGTAATTCTGTCGAGAAAGTAATATTGAAAAAGGAATATGACTATGTTTGGTACCTCTTCCTCCAGGGCTTGCAACGCAAGTAAAGTCCTTGTATGAACGATTTCTTCTCTAAAACTTTCTGTCTTCATACAAACTTTGTTTTTGCAAGTAATGCAAGTTTCGATAAAGATTTTCACTCTTTGGCCTAAGTCAGCTTCGAATACAGGGATGGAAATCTCAATGCCAAATGTAAGCAGTCTGTCACGAGCTGACCATCAATAATAGTAGTAATTTTTAGCTAATTTCAATTTTAGTGGATAAGCCACTGAAATTGAACT